GAAGACAGAGGACGACGACGGCGACGGCGACGACGACAACGACGAGGGAGGAGGGAGGACGGCGGCGACGACGACGACGACGCAAGAGCGCGCGCGAACGCTTTTGTTGAAAATCCGTGTTGCGAAACCTTGGTTTTTGGAATGTCTGTTGCAGAAAATCCTCGCGACGGCACGCGCGCAAGGGCGTTCGAAAGATTTCGACATGCGCGCGCGCGAAGCCCGTTTGGTAGTATTGTTTGAAAAAACCGATGGTTTTCTTAAGATTTCGCAAGAGCGCGCGCGTAAGCTTTTTTAGAACTTTCGTGTTGCGAAACCTTGTGTTTTTGCATGTACGTTGGAAGCTCGATTTTGAAATCCTTCCGAAACCGAAGGTTTTTGAAGGATTTCGGCATGCACGCGCGACGACGCGCGCGTCTGCACTTCGCCTCATTTGTTGCAGAGGGTTCTCGCGACGGCACGCGCGCAAGGGCGTTCGAACAAATACGACATGTGCGCGTGAAAAGGCAATGGTTCCCCTAGGATTTCGCAAGGGCGCGCGTGCGTAAGTGTTTCATATAAAAATACACACATATATTTATATATATACATGTGTATATATATATATGTGTATATATGTATATGTAATCACTCTTGCGAAACCATGTGTGATGTGTATGTTTGCTTGGAAACTCGATTTTGAAATCCTTCCGAAATCGAGGGTTCTTGAAGGATTTCGACATGCGCGCGCGACGACGCGCGCGTCTGCACTTCGTCCCGTTTTTGGTAAGGGATTATTGAAACCTTTTGATCTTTTATTAACGAGAGTGCGCCCATAGTTTTTTGCAGAGGACGGCGGGGGGAGTCATACCAGTTTGGCTGGGATCATATGAATTCATATTTCGGGTGGACGAATGTGTATAATACATACGAGATCACAATACCCCAGGGGGGATCGTTAACTCTGGGGGGGGGGAGGTAGAGTCTATTCTTCTTTGAGAAAAGGGAATCCACGTTGTGTGTGCACTGCATGTTGTGCAATGGACGGTGTACTATAGATGTTGTGCAATCTTGGTGGTGCAAAGCTACGTGGTGCACTGTATGCTGTGCAATGTACGTGGTGCAATACATCTGGTGCAATCTATGCTGTGGAATCAACCACTTGCTCAACTTGAGGCTGTCCTCTCCACTGCTCGCGCAAACATCCCACCCTCCCACCCGCAACTTGGTTTGCAAAACCTCTTAAGACCGACTACGACGACACCGGCGACAACGACGACGACGACACCGACGACGTCTCCGACGACTTCGACGGCGACAACGACGCCGACGCCGACGACGACGAAGACGATGACGACGACGCCAACGAAGGCGACGACGAGGGAGGAGGAAGGACGACGACAGCGACAACGACGACAACGACGACAACGACGAGGGAGGAGGGAGGACGGCGACGACGCGAACGACGACGAAGGAGGAAGGACGGCGACGCCGACGACGACAACGACGAGGGAGGAGAGGAAGACGACGACGACAACGACGACGACGACGGTGACGAAATAGAACCGACGACGAGACGCCGACGACGGACGACGACGACGACGTGGGAGGAGGAGGACGGACGACCACGGCGACAACGACGACGGAAACGACCACGACGCCAAAGAGGACGACGACGACGAACACGAGAAAAGACAGAGGACGACATAGGCGACGACGACGACGACGCGGGAGGAGGGAGGACGGCGACGACGACGACGACGACGCAAGAGCGCGCGCGCACGCTTTTGTTGAAAATCCGTGTTGCGAAACCTTAGGTTTTTGTAGGTTTTTTGGACGCACGATTTTGAAATCCTTCCGAAACCGATCGGTTTGAAGGTTTTCGGCATACGCCCGCGACGACGCGCGCGTCTGCACTTCGTTTAATTTTTGCAGAGGATTCTCGCGACGGCACACGCGCAAGGGCGTTCGACAGATTTCGACATGCGCGCGCGCGAAGCCCGTGCGGTAGCATGTTGTGAAAATGTTGAAAAAACCTATGGCTTTCTTAAGATTTCGCAAGAGCTCGCACGGAAGCTTTTTTAGCACATCAGTGTTGCGAAACCTTGTGTTTTTGTATGCTTTTTGAAAACTCGATTGCGAAATCCTTCCGGCATCGAAGGTTTTTGAAGGATTCCGGCATGCGCGCGCGACGACGCGCGCGTGTGCACTTCGTCTCATCTTTTGCAAGGGCTTCGTGAACAAGTGTTATGTTAGAACAAAAAATGTCACCGCATAGTGTTTTTTTAAAAGGGAAACTCAGGGGGGGAACCTGGCCTGCCTGGGATGGTATGATTTCATAGTTCGGATGGACGAGTGGTCATAATCACATATGATTTACATACCCGAAAGGGGAACGGATAAGTCCGGGGGGGGGGGAGAGTCTATTCTCTTTTCAGAAAGGAGCATCTATGTGGAGCAACCTATGTGGCGGCGACGGGGCTGCGACAGCGACAACATAACCGTCTGAGCGGCTGACAGGCCCAGACGACGGGCGGCGTCGAGGCGGCGACAGGGCGGCGACGGCGACAACATCGCCGCCACGGTGGCAGACAGGCCCAGACGACGGGCGGCGACAGCCAAGCCGCCAGAGCGGCAGAGAGGCACCGTTCCCTAGTAAGGAAATCAGGCCCGTAAGTGCAACCACTGCTGGGGGAATCTCCGAGGCATAAACAGATGTGAGTGTAGATACACGCGTACATCTGCACACACGGACCTAGCGACCCAAACGTAAAACAGACTTGCAGACGCGCAGGTTTGCACGCCGATCTATCACGAAACCATATGTCACTTCTATATGTTGTTTTTCATCACATGTTTTACCATATTGGACTAATCCACGCCCGTATTCACAAAGCGGTGCTTTCACTAAGGGGTTCTGATTGAGTTCCATACGATGTTTGCGCCTCTGTTTCTCAACTGAAGCTATAAGAGCTAGGTTGTGGGCTGCAGTGGTTCTTGGGTGCGGCCAAGGATGCGTTGCGTGGGGCTGCGGAGATGTTTGGGTTCGGCTTTGGGGTCTCGCTCCTGGCGACGGACAATTCATTGCCTCTCGCCCGCCAGCGCAGCTTCGTCTCGTCCGCACGCGCGCCACGCACGGCACAGACCAGCACTGAAATCGGATTGTGCCTGGAGCCGCTGCGTGCTCAGCCTTCCGACCTCTGATGTAAGGGCGTTCCAGATGCCGCGTCGAAATCGGTTCCGTTTAGTGGGCGTAGATGCGGTGCCATCGAGATAAGCATTCCTTCCCACTCCCCTGCGAGACTCCACGCGCAGCAAGTACACAAGACACGACACATGAACTCTCGGTGCGGTTCCCGTCGCGATCCGCCGACATTTCGTTAGAAAAATATTGGGTCCTGCTATGCTGGTCCACAGAGGCTCCGATGTCGTTCTCCAAGAACGCCACGCGCTCCTCTAGGCTGGAATGCCTGTGAGCTCATCGGGTAGATATCTAAATACATGCACTCAAACACTGTGGCTGCGATCAGATGCGCGATGTTGAAAGCCTGAACTCACGTTTTCAGCATTGTAGCTTTCCTAGTACAAGCTTGCACGCATCACCACAAGGCAGGTCGCTTCAGACATCCCTGGCCAACAAGGCTACGTGGCCCAATCGTAGACACAAGCCACTGCAGTTCTGCCTCACAGTCATGATCCCCACTCGCTTGCTCCCCTGGCCGTTCCTCTTGCTCCGCTGCCTAGCTCTACTCGCCTGCGACATACTCATCTTGGCGTGATTCAACTCAGTTCCCTCCTCGCCAATCACCATCGCTGTCTCCTGCATGCTGGTGCCTCGCATGACAATCTCTACTGCGCACTTCTTTGCTCTACGCACGCAAATCTGCCCACGGATCAGGCCTCAGGCCTCGTACTGGGGCCAGGAAGGGCGATTTTGGCAGAGGGGGTGCGGTTGAATAGTCGCCCAAACACAAACCTTCTCCAGGACTCGTAAGAACTCCCGCCGTTTTTCCAAGACAGCGCCGTCGAGCCAACGTCGTAGGATCCCCTGGCCAGGAGGCCTGATTTGCACAGACCAAGGGTGCCCGGACCACCAAGACGGAGCGGGCATGAGCATGAGCACGAACATGCACGCTGTGGGAATCCGTGTCTCTCCTGCAGCCGATACAAAACTGCGTACTGCGATGACTCTGGCGTGAGATACCTGCCATACTTGGCTCCAGTGTGACATTCGTGGATGCAGCCGAGGTTGATTCGTAAATCGCCACTGCCAGATGAAGGGTATCCTTGTGCCCTGTGCGTGCTCGACCCAAGCCCTCTACATTCCTATAGCACTATGGCCCTCAGAAGGGTTCTGTGTGCTCTCGCGTGGCCACTGAAATCTACCGCGACTGCATCGGGGAGACGTGAGACTCGGGTACGGGGGACTCGGGTTGGCCTCACGGGGGCCATCATAAAAAGGACGAGACCCAATCTGAAATCTGACGCGGGATCCCGCTGCAGATGTCCCACGAAAACGGGACCGCCAAAACCCAGGACGCGCTCGCAACAGAAAAGGTCGGCAAACCTGGGTTCCGGCTGACTCGAGCCTCACGTTGCCCCGACTGCACTTGCATTCGTGATCGTGCCGTCGCTCGGACGTCCATTTCCCGTGCATTTTTCGGTTTCGTGCGTGTTTTTTTGGGTGGGCTCGATGGTCCAGGATGGTCCTCGACGGTTCCTGCCGAAAAAAAAAATAGCACACGTCCGAGCGATGCCGAGTGATCACCAGAGGACCCTGGGCGGCGCACCCTCCGCCCTGGGCCTGGGGAGCATATCAGCCACGTCGGCACGCAGCCTGGGACCGCTCCCCCCCCCCCTGGCACCACTGAAGGGGCCCTGGGACACACAAGTAAATACACAGGAATAGCAGGATGTCCCATATTTCCACATATTTGGGGGGTCTTTGTCTTCCCCCCCACTTCCCATATTTTCCTATATTTTCTGGGGATCGACAATTCATTGTGTCTCTGTGTTTATTCCCCTCCTGAACCACCTGCACACTCAGAATGCCTGCGCCCCGTCCTTCCACGTCCCTTATTCTTCGCGTACCCTCAGCTCGGGGAGGGACGAGGGGGTGGCGATGAGGCGGCGGAGGAGGCGAAGGAGGAGAAGGATGAGGAGGGCAGAGGATGAGGGGGAGGGGGGCGCGAAGAAAGGTGGACAAGGAGCGATGCGATTCATCGGGTGTCGCCGGGCGGGCAGATCGGGCGCCCGCCTGCTGTGCGAGGATCTCAGCTCGTCGTGCTTGTTCTTCATGTCGGTCATCATCCTTCCGCCGGCGAGGGAGGGATGGTGGATGGGGGCGAGAAGAGGGGGGAGTGGTGGATGCAACGTTGGACTTTGAGCAGAGACCGACCGTCCCAGCATTCCAATAGGCCCAACAGGAAATGTCCTCTGAGCAAAGGAATGTCCCGAGGACGCAAAACAATGCTCTTGGAACATGCAGCCGACGTGTTGAAACCAGACGGTCTCGGCCAGAACTGTTCTAGGACCATTTCCTGGAAAGCGCCAGAGCTTCTCAGTTTTCTTTGGTGGGCGCCCTACGGGCAAGCCAGGACACTTCGCCACTGCTCGAGGACTTGCCGTCGCTCGGACGTCCATTTCCCGTGCATTTTTCGGTTTCGTGCGTGTTTTTTCGGGGGGGTCGATGGTCCAGGATGGTCCTCGATGGTTCTCGCCGAAAAAAAAATAGCACACGTCCGAGCGATGCCAAGAGGCGGGGGCAGCGAGCCGCTCTTGCTCCCCGCGGATGTGGGGGCTTGGCGGGGTGGCGCTCGCCTTGCCACCCCCTCCACCCGCCGAGCCGGGAGGGGGTCTCGAGGGAGACCCCTCCCGGAGGGGAAGCAGAGAGGGGAACGAACCATGCCATCAACAGAATCACTGGATGGAGGAGGAGGAGGGAGAAGGTTGTCGGCGAAAGGCACGGGGGGCATAGGCTGCGAGGGATAAGCTTCTCGGAGAACGAGCAGCGACACAGACACAAACTGCCGGAGGTCCGCGCGGATTTCTCGGATCGGCGCTGGGGCCCCCCTGTCGGCGCCTCCGGCGCCGCCCCTGGCGCGCTCCGCGCGCCAGGGAGGGGGGTTCCAGCCCGCCGACCCGAGAAGCCCGCGCGGCCCTCCGGCAGTTTGTGTCTGTGTCGCTGCTCGTTCCCCGAGAAGCCTATCCCTCGCAGCCTATGCCCCCCGTGCCTTTCGCCGACAACCTTCTCCCTCCTCCTCCTCCTCCTCCTCCTCCTCCTCCCTCCCCTCCCTCCCTCCCTCCCTCCCTCCTCCCTCCCTCCCTCCCTCCCTCCCGCCCTCCCGCTCCGCAGGGCCGGGCCGGGCGGGTCGGGTCTGCCGGGGCCAGGCCGCCCTCCCCTCCTCCTCCTCCTCCTCGGTCCCTTCCCAGCCTTCGCTCTTCCCTCCCTGTCGTCGTGCCGCTGCCGCCGCTTTCGCTGCCGTCGGCCGCCGCGTGTCGTCGTCGTCGTCGTCGTCGTCGTCGGTCGTCGTCGTCGTCGTCGTCGTCGTCGTCGTCGTCGTCGTCGTCGTCGTCGTCGTCGTCGTCGTCGTCGTCGTCGTCGGGGTCGCCGCCGCTGCCGCTGGTGGCCTCCGCGTGGCCTCGTGCCGCCGCGTGGGGGAGAGCTGGCAAGCTGGCCCAGGAGCGTGCTCCTTGGGAGAGTGCGAAGCCCAGCCCTCGGAGGCATGCCGGCCGCGGCAGCCCCTCCGAGGCCAGTTGGGGTGCCCTCTCCCCCCGTCGTCGTCGTCGTCGTCGTCGTCGTCGTCGTCGTCGTCGTCGTCGTCGTCGTCGTCGTCGTCGTCGTCGTCGTCGTCGTCGCCTCGTCGTCGTCGTCGTCGTCGTCGTCGTCGTCGTCGTCGTCGTCGTCGTCGTCGTCGTCGTCGTCGTCGTCGTCGTCGTCGGGGTCGCCGCTGCCGCCGCAGGGGGCTGCCGCGTGCCCTCGTGCCGCCGCGTGAGGGAGAGCTGGCAAGCAGGCCCTGGAGCGCGCATCGGGGCGCCGAGGCCGCTGCCATCGGCCGCCGGGAGTCCTCGAGTCGCCGTGGGGGCAGGCCGTTGGAGGTCATGGAGGTCCTTTCGGGCCTTCGGAGGCCCTGGGTGTTCCGTCGGGGGTCCTGATCGCGTCCCCGTTCCTCGGCTCTTGGGGTTTCCCTTGTCGCCCTGTCCGGTGGCAGCTCTGAAAACTTGTGCCTTCGGTCCTGGGGGTCTCTGCCCTTCCCCTTTCCCGCCTCCCTCCTTGCCCTCGTGTGGCACTCTTCTGGTTCCCTCTCTTCGGCACGGAGGCAAATGTGTGTGCTCTGCGGGGGGCAGTTTCTGAGTCCAACCTTCCATGTTCTCGGGAGCCGTGGCAGTACGGAGTTCCCCAGGCGCGCTTTCTGGGAGGCCCGAGGGTGCACAGCTCCCTCCTCTAGAGAGGCTGCGGCCACGGCGATTCTGTCGGCTGCCCCGGCAGACGCGGGGTACAAGGAGGCGGCACTGCTTGCGCTCCACGTGGAGAGGGAGGTGGATCGCTTCTGGGCATCCGCAGGCAACAATTACCTCCCCCCTCCCGCCCTCCCTCCCCTCTGCCCGGGGCACTGAGGGGGTTGTTTCCTGGTCTGCTGCTCGTTTTTGGGGTCTCTTCGTGGTCACGGCAGGATTCGCCTGGAAATTCTGGTCTGGTGTTGGAGGCTTCGGCTTCGGCATCTTTCGCCCCCCAGTCTCCTGGCAGGCGGGTCGGGTCGGGCTGGGCCCTCCCCTCCCTGGGGTGGCTTCCTCTCCCTCCTCCTGTCACCGTCCCGTACCTGCGAGGTACGTCGACCAGGCAGCGTGGGGGGATCGGACGAGCCCCAGGCAGGTGCTCCCTGCCTGGCCCCCCCCCACATATGGCGGGGAGTCTCTGAGTTGCCTCTTCTGCTTCGCCCTGGCCGGGGTTTCGGGCGGAGGTCCTTGTTGGAACTGTGGGAACTTTCAAAGGCTTGCACGGCTTTCCAGGGTCGGTTCTGTGCGCCGCCCTCTTGACTCCGCGCAGGTCTTGGAAAGTGCACAGCTCTTACCAACCCTCCCCTCGACCCCTTCAGAGCTGGCGATCTGTCTTCCAGAGCCGTCGCAGCAAGGTCGCTTCCGAACCCTCCCCGGGTCGTGGCCCCTTGCTAAAAGGAAGTCTCGTCCGAAGCTTCCGCCGCCAGCTCAAAGGGAGCACACCATCCATCCATCCTCCTCCCTCCCTCCCTCCCTCCTCCCTCCCCTCCCTCCCTCCCTCCCTCCCTCATCCTCCTCCTCCTCCTCCTCCTCCTCCTCCTCTCCTCCTCCTCCTCCTCCTCCTCCTCCTCCTCTCCTCCTCCTCCTCCTCCTCCTCCTCCCTCCTCCTCCTCCTCCTCCTCCTCCTCCTCCTCCTCCTCCTCCTCCTCCCTCCTCCCTCCCTCCTCCTCCTCCTCCTCTCCCTCCTCTCCTCCTCCTCCTCCTCCCTCCATCCTCCTCCTCCTCCTCCCCTCCTCCTCCTCCTCCTCCTCCTCCTCCTCCTCCTCCTCCCTCCATCCTCCTCCTCTGCCTCCCCTCCGCCCGCGCAGGCCAGGGCGGGTGCGGTGCCGCGCGGCTCGGGTGCACGGCCGCCCGCGCCCCCGACGTGCGGGCGGCGGTGGCCAGGCACCGGTGGGCGATTCCCCGCAGGGGCGATCGTGGAGCAGCACGCCCAGACCTACACGTCGTGCATCGCTTTGACTAACAAAAAGTTTTTTTGGGGGACATCGGAATGTGTTTGTATTACGGCTTGGCCCCACCCCGACGGAGTTCCACCGCGAGAGCTCGATGGGCCGCAGACCTACACGTCGTCCATTTCCAATCGTGCGCATTTCCGATGGTGCTCGCTTCTGGCTGTTCCTGGCCCCCTAGTGGCCAGGAGGAGGAGGAGGATAGAGCAGTTCGAAATGACAAAATCTTGGCCCCCAAAAAAAATCAAGGAACTCTCGAGGAATTAGAAGGAGGAGAAGGAGGAGGAGGAGCAGGAGGAGGAGGAGGAGGAGGAGGAGGAGCAGGAGCAGGAGGAGGAGCAGGAGGAGCAGGAGGAGGAGAGGAGGAGCAGGAGGAGGAGGAGGAGGAGGAGGAGGAGGAGGAGGAGGAGGAGGAGGAGGAGGAGGAGCAGGAGCAGGAGCAGGAGCAGGAGCAGGAGGAGCAGGAGGAGGAGGAGGAGGAGGAGGACTGGGGAAGGGGCAGGGCGATGGAGGCGCCGTGGGCACGGGTGCGGGTGGTCGGACGCTCCCGCCCGGGCGGGGCCCCCCGCCGACCACCAGAGAGAACCCCTGGCAGGGAACCGAACGGCACTCCGAATCCCATATCAATCTTCAACGAATAGAAGAGAAAACGCAGCCAATGACATTTTTTTCTCAAGTAACACATTCTGTCGAGCTGGAAAAAATCAACCACCACCACCACGTCAACCACATCAACCACATCAACAACAACAGCAACAACATCAACCACATCAACAACAACAGCAACAACGGTACTCCGAATCCCATATCAATCGACCCCCCCTGAAGAACCGGGCCCCCCTTCCAAATGCGACCTACTGTTCCGGACCCCCCTCTTCGACGGGGCGCCTTGACAAACTGGACGCCCTAAGCTCCAATCCAAAGAAAACACCCTAATCAACCGGACCCCCCCAGTTACAAAAAAGGCACATTCAAAAACTGGACCCGGGGGGCGATTAATAAGGGATTTCGAGTACACACAGACGCTTGTTCCAGTCCTGCAGCAACATTTGCCCAGGAAAACGGGTCCTGGTGTGTACGGGATCCTGGTGTGTACATGTTTCGTCGTTTCCCCAGGATGCGGATATAAAAAACATGCGCCAAACCGCCCCGACAGCGTCCCCGACCCTCAACGAGTCCCGGGATTGGAAAGCAGCCCGCCGCTGGCAATGTACACGTTCCAATCTACGGCTTGGCCCCACCCCCACGGAATTCCACCGCGAGAACTCGAGGGGCCGCAAAGGTACACGTCGTTCAGTTCTAATCGTGCTCATTTCGGATTGTGCTCGTTTCTAAGTGTTCCTGGCCCCCTCGGGGCCTGGAAGAGGCCCCAGATAGAAACATTAGAACTGAAAGGATCTTGGCCCCCATAAAATCAGAGACCTCTCGACTAATTAGAAACGAACTTGGGCGCCCGAGTTCTCCGGGATAACTCGGGTCCGGGGTAACTCGGGTTCGGATTCCCCAAAAAGGAACCCGAATTAGCCCTGACCCGAGTTACCCCTGATGATGTGGGGCTCTGGACGCCCGAGTTATCCGGGGTAAC